TGTGCACGCAGCACTGACGGGACGCAGTGACAGCCTGGGTGTGGAAGTTGTCTGGAGAGAGAAACTCTGAGATGTGGGATGCAGTGGTGTCTTCAAGTTGCAAGTTTGGTATTCTTTATCTCCAAGGTGGCAAATCTCTAAAGCCTACAAAAGATGCCACAGATGTTGGTTCCAACATCCTCATTTCACTATTTTTAAAAATCACGTGGGGCTGAGGGGCAAGCCGGCTGCACAAGCTCCCCAGGCCAGGAGCTGGAGGACCCAGGGCCCGAGCACAGCCCCGAGCTGGGGACGCGGCCGGGGGCTCCCTGCGTGGCAGCCCGGCCCTCGGGGGGCTCTGCCCACAAGGACAGGTCAGAGGTGGCCGTGGGGCCTCTGCCCCGCCCTGGCGTGTCGCTGGCTGGGGCAGCCCGATGGCACCACTGCAGACCTCGGGGGGAGAAGGGGGCGCCTGTCCCCTGTGTCGGCCCCCAGAGCGGAGCCAGGGTTCGGGGGGAAGAGGCATCGCCCACGTGGAGCGGTCGGCCTGGAAGGGTCTCTGCACGGGCCTCGGAAAGGAGCGGGGCCCCGTTGCTGCGGGGCCGCGTCACACGCCTGGGTCTGCCGTTGCAGGTGAGAGCGCGGCCACGGGCACCATCGCGGGCTGCCTGTTCGGACTGCTGTACGGCCTGGACCCCGTCCCCAGAGGCTTGTACCAGGACCTGGAGCACAGGGAGAAGCTGGAGGCCTTGGGCGCGGCTCTGCACCGCCTGTCCACCGAGGAGAAGTAAAGCCCTTCTGCCCCGGGCCGCGGGCCGCACACCTGCCCCCGCCCGGGAGCGCGCGCCTGCCGCTCACTCGCTGGGGGCCACCTCTTCTCCTCCCGGCCGAGAGCCCCGGTTGCCGCATAAGACGCGCCGTCTGCCCTGCGTCGCCTGGGACTTGCGCCCAGCCTCCGGTGCAGCGGTCGCAGAGTCTCTGGGACGGAACTAACCCGTTTGCTCGCGCACGCCAGCGGCACTAACAGGCCCCCACGGCGGCCCGGGCGCGACTTGGCGGCTGGCCTGGGCCTCGCTGCGTCCTCAGCACCGCGGCTCGGCAGTGCGCGCGTGTGGAACAGCCCACTCCGATGCCTCCCGGGTGCGGCACAGCCCTGCCCTAACCCCCAGCCTGGTTTTTAATCACACTAGATTTGTAAGATCAGCCTCCTTTGGAGCCTCTTGCCTGAGAAAGCAGGCTGCGGCCTCGTCGGTCGGCCTTCGCACGGCTTAGCGGGGCAGGTCCGCACGGCAGAGAAGCCTCTGGCCTCCTGCAGCCTCTCCCTCCGGGCTCACTTCAGTTCCCCGCAGCCGAGATTCTCTCGGAGAGCCTTCAGATAGACAGCACTTGCTCTTGTTGTTTAAAATAAATCTGGACACAATCTTTTTTCAAGTAGCATCTGGTGTGAATAAAACAGCAGTTGAGACTGATGTTTAACACTGCGCTTGGCAGCTTGGCGGCCCGTCTTGCTGAAGGTGATGTTCTCGGTCAAGGGCTTGCTCTGGGTGGGCAGAGCCCTCGAGGAAGGCACAGTGGGGGCCGCCAGCCCCCCCAGCCCTGCGGGGCACTCGGAGCCAGGCGCTCGTCTGCTGGGGTCTGAGATGGCATCCAGGGCGTGGACCTTGCGCTCCCACGGGCTTCTCTTACGTGATGATTTGGGTGGGGAAAGTGGTGATGTCTTTATCGTCTCACCTTAGGGTTTGGTTTTCTTTTTAGAGACAGAGTCTCACTCGGCCACCCAGGCTGGAGTGCAGTGGCGCAATCACAGCTCACTGCAACCCTGAGCTCCCGGGCTCAAGCGATCCTCCTGCCTCGGCCTCCCAAAGTGCTGGGATTGCAGACGTCAGCCACCGCACCCGGCCTCGCGTAGGGATTTTGTGTGAGGTGACAGCTAGGTGGGAGAGGCTGGGAGACTCTGCAGGTGAGGGCCCCAGACTCCCCAGCTCACAGCAGCTGGGTCGAGTCTTCCAGAACCGCCTCGCCATGCTTCCCCGAGGGAGCTGCCCCAGCCCTGCCGTGGCATCCTTCTCTCAGTAGAGGTATCTGGCTGATCTCAAAGGAAGCGTAGAGTCGTGTTGCAGGAAGTCTGTGGGCATTCTGCACTGCGCAGATCGCAGCGAAGCGTTTCCGAATAACTGAGCTAATGCGCACCACTAACGATGCTTTTCAACCCAAAGAACCAGAAAGACAGACACTGGGCGGGGGGCCTCTCACGGCATGTGGCCCACTGCGGGGTCCCAGCCCAGAGTGGTGGGAGCAATTACCTGAGAATTATCTTTCGGGAGAAGAACCCAGTCAAGGTAAGTTGGGACCCTCCCAGCATGCAGTGCAGCGCGCGTAATGCAGTAGCCGGCGGTTTCTGAGGCACCATGTCCCGGCCACCGGCTCGCCCCAAGAGTGCCTTCCCGATGCGACCCTGCCGTGCGGGAGAGAAGGCTGGTCTCACGAGTGCAGGGCGGCTCCATCTTACTGATGGTTTCAGAGAATTAAATTCCTTGTTAGAATCAGAAAGTGAGTCTATTTACAAGCTGATTATAAATTAAAATATGTGAACTGAAGCAAAATTCACAGGCATCACAGAAGTGAAAGGCCTCCCCAGCTTCATTTTCCTATTGCAGAGAAATGCAAAAGTTGAAAAGTACAATAGGAAGTACTGAGGTGAATGCTGTCCCTACTCTGAGTTTTAAAAACTTAACACTTGCTGGTTTCATTTTCGTTATAGAAGCGACGTGCGCACACAGCTCCAGAAACCCAAGCGCTGTGCGTGGTGGCGTGTGGGGGGCGGCTCCAGTCCCCTAACTCGGACACCACGGGCACGATTCCCTACGCTTCCTTCCGGAAATTCTCTCTGTGCGTACAGCCGGGGCTGTGTGTGTGCCTGAGTGCGAGACAGAGCTGCGTGTGTGTCGCACACGGTTTCTTCCCGCAGATAGGAATTACAGCATACGCAACGGTTTGCTTTGGGCTTCCCCACCAAATGCATTTTTATATTTTCCTACGTCTCCGTACATACGTCTGTCTCAGTCTCTTAAGCGGCTGCCCGGTGTCCTCTTAGACACACATGCCGCGACTCAAACACTGAGCCCGCTGACAGGGCCGTGAGCTGTTTCCGTTTCCTAAGGGGCATTTTAAACACTGTCCTTTGCGTTCGCTTCTAAATGCTGCCTCCACATCGCTTCTGAAAAAGAATTAATCTCCACTGATAGCACAGGGATGTCATAGGTCATTCTGGGATGCATTTTTCTACACTTAATATTTCTGAGATTGTGGGGCATCCTGTATTTTTTTTTTTTTTGAGACAAAGTCTCACTCTGTTGCCCTGGCTGGAGTGCCGTGGCGTCATTCTAGCTCACAGCAACCTCAAACTCCTGGGCTCAAGCGATCCTCCTGCCTCAGCCTCCCAAGTA